GTATATATGTGTTTACAATCCATATATATACGCCGGTGCATGGAACGCAATTATTCCGACGTTCCTGTATTTTAATTCAGACACTACTGCACGCTTGGAATGTCACACTTTTACGCCGAGGTGCTCATCGGAGAATTCTCACACACAGTTAGACACAATTCCACATCTATTTACACTTGCGCACGGTCGAAGACAACTTTCGACAATGACACTGAAATACTAGAAAACTGTTTGTTCTTGCACACACGCAGGTAGCTGTCTTCACTTACATGTCAATATCAAAACTCACTTTGCAAGAAACACTCGTACCAAAGCATGCAAACACATTCTTTACATACAACGAATGAAAAACACATTCATGACAAAGAAGTCACAGGTTGGCCTGAATTGCTGCGAGTGTTGGTCTGATTGTTTGGGTCTTCTAAGTTTTACAGTGCGGCATTCAATTTGGCACACCATTTTATTATACACACAGTGCTCTGGAGTCGCTCACGCAGTTGTCGAGCAGCCGTTCAGTCTCGGCCAATCAGAAGCGTTTTAAAGTTAAAACTGGGAGCGCTGGCCAATCAAAAGCCACTCTTATGCGCGCTGTGGCCTTGGCGAAGGCAGGTGTGCGTAAGCGACTGACAGTTCTGAAAGTGTTTGATGATTTTGGTACATCGGAGGCCGCTGTATCGGCTATGAAGAATGATTCTAGTAGTAGAAGTACCTACCCCTCTACCCCTACACGAGCGTGGGTGGACCCGGAGTCCACCCAGCAGATGGTGGAGCTGTGGGGACAATTATGCGCTTCACTTGGTACTGGCCTGACCAAAGTGAAGAGTGGGAATCTGCGCAAGGATGTTAAAGAAGGTATGAACTACGACAAGTGTAGAAATGAGTTGACAATATATGTGTGGTAGCGGTGAGTATGCGTCTCTGAGTCTGTGTAATTGTGTCTTATTTAGTATAGGCTGCATTTTTTGTTTCGTAGAAATCGGTGCATTTACCTCTTTAGTGCTATCGAGTTGGTATCCTGGCCACCAGAAAGCCAACGTCAATCGCTGATGCTTAGTTAAAAAAGAACGATTTTTATTATCATGATCAAAATACGACGAATGGAATATACTGGCGAATATGCTGTTCTATATTTATATTCTTGAAACGATCCGAATGTTTTTTTTTTGCCATAATGTGCCATTTTGCTTATTGGCCACAAGGTATATTTATTGCTACTGTGCACATCTCTGAAGGAGGCAGTACAAGCCATTGTCCAGAGGGGTATATGTACACATATGTATGTATACAAGCTGTAGTATTCTATATATTCTCACAAGACGGAAGACGGAGCGTGCCTTTTTTTACTTGTCAAATCAAGTAAATAAAGCTATATATATTTCACCCTCATATTACCATCCCATTCTACACACTGGCCATTTGACCATAGTCCTAACATATGCCCTAATTCCACCCAGGCGACAGCACAAGCAATAGCCCAGTGGTGGACTCTCACACAACAGCAAGTGCAGAAGTAGCCGATCTTGTGTCACGCATGCACGCGTGCGTGCTGGACGCTCGCTTGCGCATGTACAAGGAGAAAGCATGTGGGTTTTTGTCTCACCATCTCATGTACCTAATGGGTGGTGTTGGTGGCAAGATGGAAAGAATGACTTATGCGAGAGGCGATGTGGCGGTGGTGCAGCCGGTAGGGGTTTGTATGGTGGTGCGATTTGCGGCGTACGTTTTCACACAGGCACAGCGAGACAACTCAGATGTAGCTCATACGTTTGCAGATTCGCAAAACCTCGACCAAACGCAAGCACAAGACGCGGAAGAAGAAGTGTATATGGTATTGTCACAGGCGGCTGTTCTCGGCGTGCTGCAGGCGGTACTTCAGGTTGCCATGGTGACGGGCGAGTCCAGTGCGCGTGCGTATGAAAATGCGTTGGGACAACGGAGGTCTGGCAGCAAAGCGGGTAACCATGGCAACGGGCGTCTGGAAAGTTTTGGAGCCCAAACAACTAATGCATCACAGGTGTCAATGGAGGTAACTAGATCAGAGGGCAGCCAATCAAATCATAGGAATGGTAAAACGTCCGCCAATGAGAACGTCGACTCGAACGGCTTCGGTCCCATTGTGTACACACAAATGGCCTCGACAGTGTCTAATGCTGTGCGTATGGCTCGTAGCGGTGTGTTGTGGGAGGTGGTGAGTGGGTTTAAGAGAGTCCTACACCCGAGATTGGCCGACGAATCATACCACAAGCGTAGGCGGTATGCGAGCACATCTACCAGCGCACACACACAATATGATGCCGCTACAGATGGGTTCGATACACGCACAAGTTCACATACACACACTCCCACCTTCACTCGCCAAAAAGCACGCGGGGAAGCTGTAGATGGCTCAGAGGACGTGCGCACTGCTGTGGGTAGCAGACAATTTGATCCTCTATGTGTGTCTGTTCTATTTTTAGCCATTGTGCGCCTTTTGGGACGGGAGAGCATCACTAGCAGAGAGTTAAATGTGCTGCAGAAGGCTATCGTGTACGGTGATATCGAGAATGACAGCGATCCAGAGGACGATACCGGTATGTATACGAATGTATGGAAGTATGCATGTATGTTTTTGATGTGTATTGTACAACAGTTCTTTCGATGCCACATTTTCTCCCCCCTCTGCTTTTATATAAACGCGAGTCTGATGGGCACTAATCAACATAATATATGACTCTTATTGTTTTCTATCCTCCCGTTTTCCCCCAATGGGCGTGTCTCACGCCTTTTCTTGCCGACTATATGTTATAGTTGAAATCGTCGAGTGTACCGTGTAGAGTATCACAATCAGCTCGTATGCTCACCCCTTCCGTATTCTTCTCGAGTGTTCGTTATCGATACACATGCCTTGAGTGTATTGTACAGTTCATCGCTCATAAATTACGCTCATCTATCATCTCTTTAGCCGTCTGAGAGTACATACGTGTGGATCCGCGCACGAAGTCTATTGCGAAGCATCCCACTCACCCCGCACCTTTCCTCATCTCTCAACCCTATGATCATGCACATATACTATTTGTACAAACAGTCTATTGATAATCATCCCACTCATCTATCCTCTTCTTCCCTTTTCCTCGTGGCTGTACGTGATAATAGATCGAGTTTGTAATCTGTTGCGAGCCATCTGGCACTTTTCTCATTTGCGTCTCTCCTGTTTACCTATTGGGCAGACGACTGGAACACCCACGCAACATCAGAAGCCGACAGTGGCATAGACACACCACACCAACACAGCTCACACACGAGCTATCGCGAGGGCTGGGCCAACACGGAGAGCCACGTACCCTCTCGCAAACGCAGGTGTTCGCCATACAAAGGCACAGACACACACACGGAACTGGAACTTGCCTGGCGAGATGCGTGGGCACGCAATCGTATGGCAGTCATTGATACGATCACATACCTCATGCACCACACGACCCGACGGCCGGCCCACTACACGGAGTTCAGGGCCGGTGCGCCTGAGCCTGAAAATACAAACGAGGACCGGTACTTGACCCGTACATATGTGCGTGGCCCCGGTGTTGGCAAACGGATTCGTATAGCGGTACAGTGTGAGCTCACGGTTGCGCAACCGGTCACGTGCGGAGGTAGACAGGTACGTGTGAAGTGATATGGGGTGTTGCTGGTCCATATTTCGCCATGTTTCCGAGATTTGGGGCAAGTTCGTCTATGTACTTCAATCGATGTTTGTCGTTTGTATTTTGGTCTAGATATCGGCAAGAGGATGCATATGGAGGTATTGTTTGACTTTTTGTCTTGGCCGTGGATTATTCGGTGTCGAGTGACAAATTTCTACCATGTTTCAAGTTTTGAGGCATTTTCGTCCATGTACCTGCATGGATGTCAGTATTTTAGTAAACATAAATTTATTGGCCTGGGAATTGGCGAGCGGTTGCATATGGCGGTATAGTATGTAATCTTGGATGTCATGAACAGCCAATATTTTAGGCTCAACCAATTGGTCCTTAGAGTTCTCTGATATACCATTATAACGAATACTTAACAGCTTACAATCATCAGTTATTTACCAATATATATATATATATATATATATAACCAGCCTATGTCTTCAGTCCACGCGGCACTTCTTCGTATAGTATATGGAAACAACAATGCGATGTATTTGGTTGACCACTAACTTCCTTCCCATTCTATATGTAAAGTACTCTGAAATATGCGCACAACATTTCTTGTACATTCAGAACAATATGGAGCGATGTAGATACAATGGATAACTATTTACGCTACGAAATACAGTTCATTTGTTTTGATTTGTCTCACACACACACACACACACACACATATATATATATATATATATTTACATCTCAGCAGAGCGATGACGAGGCGATCTCGTTGGTTCATGCATCGATTGCACGACTCAGAGCTAATTATGCTCGCCATGTTACGCACATGGTTGGTCCCGGAAGTGTTGTGAATACTGATGCCCATCTCATGGCCGGTGTCCTGCGCCGAGAGAGTAGTCATGGTATGTGGTGTTGTGATGGAGTCGGTCGGGGGGTCTGGGGTAGACTTACTTTTGGTTTGAAGTTAGTTCCATCAGTTGTTTATGACCTATCTATGCTATGTGCTTGTTGTGTATATGGTGCAGAGTTGAAGAGTAATGTAATGTACGCCAGATACGCATGGGTTGTTTGTGGAGTAATTACGGCACCTGTGGAGTTGTCATGGTTTGTGGATGTGTAGCAATATAGTGTGTTTAGAGAACTCCAGTGAGTAGCGGTTGTGGTATGCAAGGCGAGTTACAAACGTTGAGTAGCATAGTCATATAGTATGCTGTATACTTTTCACTTCTCAGCTAACTATCACTATTTTACTGTTTTTCAGCTGTATAAACAGTCATTGTACAGCTGTACTTTTCGTATGTGTGCTTTTATTTGCTCACACTCGATTCGTTATGACATATAATTCCTATCATATACCATCTCGACCCTATGTACCCAGCTTTTTCGCTCAAGCCTCTGTCGCGCACACAGTACGCATTTAATTGGCACATATAGTATGTATATCTGTACAAAGATTCACGCGCTCGTCAATTACCACATTACTTCATGCATTGCACCAAAGGAGATCCAAACACACACACGCACGTCTTCTGTGCATTACACGTATCTTTACAACACGCTCACACACACACACACACGCATACACACTTTTCTTGTGCACAGGTCAGATGGCCATTACCGCCTTTACTCTCACCGACGGGGTGGGTGAATGGCCCCCACAAGACGGATATGTGGTTACCGCTTGGGTTCAAGTTCCTGTACAGGCAAGTACACGGGAACACACTCACGCACACACACACACCCACGTGCAAACACGTGGACAAACGCCAAAGCCCACCCAAACGCGCACACACGTACAGAACCGGGAGCAGGTATCGAATATCGGACCGGCCGAGGTAGTGCTAGAGAGAGAGGCTGAGTCGGAGACTGATGCGACCTACTGGGGTACACCATTGAGTGCCCACACACACGCCCACGACCTCACATCGACACACACATCTGTACAAGCGCCTGTAGATACACCTGTGCACATACGCACGGAAGAGCTACGTACAGAGGATCCTGAGAAAAAGGGGGGAAGTGAGGAGGTACACACGGTGCAGAGCTTCACATTGATGGCAGTCAATGAGATGTCTGTGGGTGTGGAGGGTGCGTGTCTATGGATTGACACAGACACGACCGCCTCGCTGTCGCGCACAGCGGTTGGGAGACGAGGTAGCGCAACTAGCAATGCCGGTGCGAAGTACACAGATGAAGGTATGGGCGAGTGTATCTGTGGGTGAGTTGTTTATGTGTGTGTTGTTTATGTGTGTGTGTGTTTGTATGTGGGTGTGGGTGCTTGTGTGTTTGATATGTATATTTGTGTAAGAAAGTGAGAAATTCTACCTCTTGTGTGTTGCGAGTTTATAAGTATTTAAATGCGTGTATTTGTGCTGATTGACTGCCACCGACACCACCGTCTCACTTCAGCGCGAACCTAAGTCTAGAATTTGATGTAATTCGTGTATGATAGGCGTGAGCTACGTAAAGTCTTATATTGTATATTTTGAAAGGTAGTTTTAAGCTGAGATTCACACTTCGATAAGAATGTGGCGTATAGTAATAGATTTTTTACATCTATTCTTTGCATTATATATATATATATAAATATATATTGTCTGTTCTGACATGTAGACGACATAGTGCCTCCCAACGCAAATACAATGTTCCTTTGATTGTCCCACAAGCTGCGCGTGTTTGTCTCCTTGTAAAGAGGTCTTGGTGCTTCCCTTACAGTCAATAGTCGATTTCTGGGCTATGTCTATGTTCAATATAAAGCTATCACCACGGGTGCTTCCATAGTTTGACTCAGATACTCGTGAATGACTGATGTAAATCCAGGCGAGCTATTGAAGTCGAGATGGCACTTTAACGGCTGTGCGTCCCTCTTTGACGGCGAGTGGCATCATGTGATTGTGCATGTGACACGCACGTCACATACCGTAGCACGTGTCAGTGTCTTTTTAGACGGCGTGCGCACCAATGTGAACACAGGTACCGAACTTTCTGCGGGAGGGAATTCTATAAATACACCAACCAAGTCTATAAACAGAACGACCAAGCCCGACCCAGCCACTGCACGTACGCCGAGGGATGCACCGGTGAATGAGGGTGAGGATACCGGTATAGATACGGAAGAATCGCAACGAACAATTGAAGAGGAACGAACACTTACGCATGAGTACAAGGCCGACTTTGAAGGTGAACACTTGGTCACGAAGGCTCATGTGCCGTACTTCACACAAGCGGACGGTGGGCCGAGATCGTCTGTCAGTGTCAATATCAACCCGGATCTGAACGAGGTGCGATTGAACTAAACTGCAAACAGTTTATA